TTTTGAGTAATGTCCTGAGCTCAGGTTCTGCCACTTCCATTCTGCAAGTCATGTGACCTCTCCACGATGCTATTTCCTCACCTGAAAAATAGGGAAAATGATTTCTGCTCAGCCTTCCTCGAAGGGAAGTTTTGAGATTCAAGTGTTTAATATCTGTGCCCCAAGACCGTGTACGCACCCTCGGGCAGGGAACCACAACTGCCCCGTTCCCTGCTGTACTCCAAGCTCGGGCCACAGGGTAAACGTTCAGTAAATATTTGGTGGGTAAATAAATGACAGGGTGCTGGTGAACTTGGCCCTGCCCTTTCTGGGAAAGTAAAGCAGGAAAGCACTTCCTGAACCACTGATTCCCCTGCAGGACACTGCTCCTCAAAACGTGGCCCAAGGACCAGCAGCAGCAACCCCTGGGAGCTTGTAGAAATGCAGACTCTCAGGCCTACCCCAGAAGCTACCAAGTCTTAATGTCTGGGGTCAGAGCCCAGACTGTGTTTCAACATGCCCTCCATATGATTCCGATGCTTCCCAAAGTTTGAGAAACATTGCTGTTGGATACAGTGGGGAGAGCGAGAGATGGGGTACGAGCTGCCATGGCCCCCTCCCCAGGACCTCTCCCTCCCGCCTGGCACAGGTGTTCATTCCCCACCCCGCCCCTTCCCTGACCTGCCTGGGGCAGGAGAACATGCTACGGATGCTGGCAGAGGGAGGCGGTCTTGTCTTTTTCGGAGGGAGTTGGTCGGCCCCTTGCTGTTTTAACAAAATCTGCAGATAGCATGAGGGATCAGGAGATAAGCTTTGCAGGTACATGAGAACTCTGCAAAGTGGTCCCTTCCCAATCCAGTCAGCTTCTCTGTCCCCTGGCAATGCCCCGTGGGACAGCTGGGAGGCCTCACACCAAGGGTCCCAGGTGCCCCCACACACACCCCTCTGCTGAGGTCTCTGCCCCCCTCCTCCTGAGGACCTGAAAGTCAGCATGAGCTATTAGGAACAGAGAGAAGAGATGAACCTCTGAGATAAAGGCTCCTGATAAGAACTGACATGATAACCCTTGCACATTGCACATTCTCAGTAGGATGTGATTGGAGGTTCCTAGAAGCAGAAGGTCACACATGCAAAGGGGGAGGGGAGCAGGGATTGAAGGAGGACAGCCGGATCTCCAGCAGGTCAAAGCCAAATGCAACAAGGCCAAGTGACAAAGCCTGCACCTGTCCAGGAAAACCAGCAGCCCGTGTCCAGTTTCCAGGGGATGGCAGCTGGAACCAGACGGAGGGCCTCAACTGATGGCTGGCCCTTGGAAAGAGAATGGGGACCTGGTCACACTGATAGGAATCATGGAATAGGCAGGTGAAAAATGCCCTCAGTTCTCTGTGGGGCAGTCAGCCCTGGGTACCTGAGGGAGCTCTGGACAGCACATTCTGGAAGGGTTGTAGAGAACCACTGCTGTCTTTCCCAGAGGTTTACTGTGTTGTCATGAGAGGGACAGAAGGAGGAGGGAGACGTTCAGCCTGGATAAAAGACAATTCCGGGGAAGCTTCAAATACATAAGAGACCTCTGAGTAGAAGAGAGGGCAGCCTGGACTCGTGGGACCCAGCGAAGGGCAGCCCAGCCGTGCGACACCTCCACCCCGTTGGGGCCCTGTCCTCACACATCCCCTTGCCAGCTACCCACCTCCCCTGTCCTTCCACACCCGCAGCTCCCCCTGCTTCCAGTCCTGGCTCAGTGATGGGAGAGCAAGAGTGTGGGTGTGGAATCAGGAAGCCCCAAATCCCAGTCCTGTCCTTGCACCCGTGTCACCCTCCCCTTGTGTCACCCTGCGCCAGAGCACAACCTCTCCCAGGCTCGGATGTCCCTGTTGGGAAAACGGGAATGTTCTCCTCTCACCAGGCACAGGTGCTCGTTCTCCAGCCCACACCCTGCAAGGGGGCATCCCTTCCTTCGCTCCCTCGTTCGGGAAGTGGTGACAAGCCAGGAGCAGCCACCCGTGATATCCCCTGCCCCTGAAACCCCAGGAGAGGCCTGATGCCTAGTGACTGCCCGGTTAGTGACGCTGGTGACCCCAGGACCCGTTCCCTGGCCATCTCTGATCTCCATGCTGAGCAGAGGACCATACAGGTAGAGGCCCCCGACATCAGGAGACAGTCACCCCTCTTGCTGCGGCACCCTTGGCAGGATGGAGGACCAATGGCTCGGAGAAGAACACTTGATGCATATCTTCGTGGGCGTGTGGTTTTCTTCAGTCAGCAGATCTCACCTTACATAATAAGTAAGCCGGGTAGTGCTGGTCCAGCAGGCTCTGCCTGCCGTGTGTGGTACACAGAACCACAGGCGGCCCTTGGGGCAACGTGGCGCCCAGCACCTCCCAGTGAGGGCACAGACCAGGATCGGCGTGAGGAACAGGTAAGCAAGGCAGCTAAGCGTCCCAGCTCTGGAACTGTAATCCTAGCACCTCAGTGTGTAGCTGTGCGATTTAGGCGAGCACCTTAGCCTTTCTGTGCATCGATTTCCTCGGCCAGATAACAGGGAGACTTCCTCTTAAGAGTTGTGCCTCTGAGGTCAGACAGCTGATGTGGATCGTGCCTCCCCCACTTATTTGCTGTGTGACCTTTGCAAGCGTCCCAGCCTCTCTGTGCCTCAGTTTCTTTATCTGTGAAATGGGAGTAATATCAACAGCACCTGCCTCACAGCATTGTTATGAGGACCGAATGGGTCTGGAGAGAGAGACAGAGAGAGCCCTTGAAAGAATGCCTGGCCCAGTACTTCTCGCCCCAGTGTTTGAGGCTGGGTTCCGTGCACGAAAGGACTTATATGCAAATAGTCTGTTCAGAAAATGACCCCAGCAAGCACCTGTAAGGGAGTGGGAAAGTGAGGCAGGGACCAGGAAGAAGCCAAAAAGGGGCGCATGAACGACCAGGTTGCCTTCGCAGACAACTGGGGCTCAGTCCTGCTGGGGGCCTCTGCGGAGGGTAGAGAACCCCTCAGCAGCCCTTCCCCACCCCCATGGGCAAGGAGGCTGAGATGGGCAGTAGAATGCAAAGGAGTCCCAGCAGTGACTGTCACATCAGGCTTTTCTGAAAAATTCAGGCATCCCCCCTGGGCCCCTGAACACCACCGATAACGATACTGACTTATCGAGCTCAGGAGGGAGTGGAGGGTTCAGGGCCAGAATTCGCTTGATGTCTCCACACTGATTCAAACAATGTCTATAAGACACCTCCCTTCCTCACACCACCCGGGCAGGGATCTGAGACCGCCCTCCAAAGTATTTTAAGCAGGGCCCACAGGGATACAATCCACCTGGCCTTTGCAAGCATCCCCTCCAGCTGAGGACAGGAGCTCAGGAAGCAGGGAGCGGAAACTGGCCCCAAGCAAGGCAGTCGTGGCACAGCCGTGTAGTCTCCTCCAGCCACCCTGGCAGTGCACATCGGGCTTGGTTCTAAGTGGCAGGCCATTCAGGCCTCCAGGCTGCAGCAGAGAATTTAAGGAACCAAGAGTTGGGGGCTAGGAGAGCTGAGCAAGGAGGGGTCCTAGCTGCTTCTGCAGTGGGGAGCTGAGCTACTGGGAAGGGGCCCTGCAGGGCCTTCCAAGGCCCAGGAACAGGAGGGCACTGAGCCTACAGATGGAGTCTCTGAGAAGGGCCCGGAAGGTAGAAGCTGACACGTGATTACTACACAAGGGCACGACTATTCCTGACGACAAGAAGGGACAGTGGGGAAGCCGTACCATCGCCTGACCCTCAGGCAGGTGACTTCAACAGGCTGAACTCATAAGGATGTATCTTGGATGCCGTGGCACCAGCCAAGGGGCGAGAGGTATTAAGGGATTCTCAGCCCACACTGCCATCCTCCAGCAACCTTTGCCTGCGTTTTCCTCCTCCTCACCTCCTCCTTGATCAGCACTCAAGACTCGCGGGGCCCAATCTGACCTTCAGTCCTGCTGCAGTGTCAGTAGAGTGACTCAGCAGGTGGGGGCCGTGCTCTGGGTGCTGAGGGCCTGGACGTCTGCCCCACCTTCTTTCTCTGTCGCCTCAACACCCTTGGACCGCTTCCCAGGCCCTCTCATAACCCCTCAGCTGGAGAAACAGTGGTTTGTCGATGCAGCCAGTGGGACAGTTGGACAGGGGTCCTGGGATCCCTGAGGGCCATCCCCAGGCAGTTCTAAGGAAAGACTTAAAAGTGCTGTAATAGAGTTGGGCAACTTCCAAGACATTCTTTGGTCAGATACATGCTGTGAGCGAAATGAAAACTTCCTCCTGGGTCTCACACAGAGGAGTGGGGAGAAGGCAGGCTCCTCACACGCTGGGGCAAGGAACTCTGTCTTGGTCAGTGGTGATCTGATCGCTGTTTCCAGAACTGGGGCTGAAGGTCCAGGACACAAAGGTAGTGCATCTTACCAAGGGGTAAGCACCTCAACTTCACGCATGAATGGTGAAAATGTTGAAAAGGCAGAGCTGTAGATTTGATACTTAAGCACAGGACTGGGAGAAGGGAAGGAAAGCGTTACCTTTAACATGTAACTCAAGACAAGAGATTTCCCGATCCCAGGATTCGCCAGGTAGCATAAACTCTGGCAGTTATGAGTACTCCGACAGGACCATTTTCGATACACTAAGCTCGTGCAAAATTACCCATATTACCAATGAGAAGACCGAGGCCCAAAGAGAGTGGGACCCTTGTCCCACAGCAGTGAGTTAGCGGCTAAGTTTCCATGGACCTTTTTCCAATCTTCTCTCCCGGAAATGGGACCCCCACCCCCTTCCCTTCTCCTCCTGCACACTCTTTTTTTCACCAGGGAGAAAAGAGTTTGCACGAAAGGCAAACGTAGACCTCAAGCTACAGCTCCCCTGCGAGTAAATGCGCCGAAGCCCTTTGCGCACGCGCCTTGTAAGCCCGGCCGCCTAGGGCCGTCGGCCCCGCCTCTCCGCCCATCACCAACATGGTCTCCCCGGCAACGGCCCTTCCTGCCTCGCGCTGGCACGGCGGCTCCTGACGTCATAGGACCGCGCCGGTCGCCCCAGAGTCGGTGGAGGCTGCACGTGGGTTGAAACTTGAAACTTTCAGGCCTGGCCATGGATACGCCGCTCAGGCGCAGCCGGCGGCTGGAAGGCCTAAACCCTGAATCCCCCGAGACCCCCAGCCGAGTTTTGCGGGCGAGACGGGCCCTTGTGGCGTTCAAGTCGGACCCAGAAGAAACGAGGGAGCCCGAGTCGCCGAGTGCGCGGCAACCCGGCCTGGAGTCTCCCGGCTGTCAGCTGGAGACAAGCCCGGAATCACCTATTCTACGGCAGGGTGCAGGTTTGGGGTCCCCCGGAAGGGAGCCGGAGCCGGGCCCAGGGTCCCACCAGGTTCAGCAAGATCCAGGCGTGGAGTCGCCCCAAACACTTCCGGAGTCGGGTCCACAACCCCCCGGGTTTCAGCCAAAGCCAAGTGGGCAGTCAGCAAAGTTCTCCCAAACCCAAGAAGAACTGGACTCGGAGTTGGCCCTGAGTAAGAAGGAGCTGGCCTCGGGGTCTCCCCGACATCAGCTGCAGCTGGGCCCAGGATCCCCTGAGCCTTACCCGGCTCAGCAAGCGCCGGGTCCGGAGCCCTCGCGACCACTACAGGAGCCGACAGCCCAGTCACCCGGCTCCCCCCAGGGTCAGCACGAGCCGAGCAAGCCACCTTCGGCCGGGGAGACGGTGAAAAGCGGCCTAGGGGCAAAGAAGCGGACAAGTTCTTCAGCCCAGGCCCCAGCGTCCAAGAAGTTGAAGGAGGGGAAGGAGGTTCCTGTAATCCCTAAGGGAAAGCCCAAATCCGGGCGGGTGTGGAAGGACCGCTCCAAGAAAAGGTGAAGTTGGGGAAAGCTAGGCAGGGGTGTGGTTCTCTGTGGTGTTGGGGCACCTGTGCAGCCCAGAGAGAGGCTCAAGGATGGAGAGAGCTCACATTTGGGGGGTCTCACACGAACAGGTAATTATAATCAGGATGTGGTAAAGTGCTCTGGGATCCCAGGGAGGGTGAGACCGCGCCCTCAAAGGTTATTTCTGTGATGCTTTCCTCCTCAGAGTACCTGTGTACCTCTCGTAGAGCACCTCATTTGTGTATTCATTCAACAAGCATTACCTCTGTCTGCCCGCTTTCCAGTGAGGGAAGCAGAAGCAAGTAAACCAGCCCTTACTTGGTAAAAAGCTGGGAGGTCTTCACCAGCTAGTATCTTTTACGGTTATTTGCCCTTGTGTTAAAAAGTATTATGGAGCACTGAGCCTGTAGAACACTGCTAAGCATTTTGGTAAGGACCGGCCAGCGCGAAGGCCTTGCAGACCGAGGGACCAGCGTGCCTCGGGCAGTTAGTCTGCATGCAACACTGTGAAGCAGCTGCTGTTAGGATTATCCTCATTTTACATATGGGGAACTCAAGGCTGTGCAGAGAAATCAGGGAGTTATCAGACCATAGGACTTCAGGGGTGAAAGCAGAGAGACCAGTCAGGAGGCCTCGGTTGCAGTAGAACTAAAACACGTTCAGAAGCTGCAGGTAGGTCTTGCGGATAAGGGCCAAAGGGCCACTGAATTGATGTTCAGGGTCTTTGAGGAAGCAGCTTCGGCGGGTGGTGAGCAGAGCCCAGAGACAGTGGACGCAGCACCTGCAGCAGAAGGTGTCCCAGCAAAACGAGGGATATGGAGGGCGGCGGTGGGCTGGGAAGGCCCGGCTGCAGCCCCCCCCCTTCCATGCTTAGGCTAAATGCCAGCTGCACAGCGCCCCTTGGGTGTGCCATCTCCCTCCTCTGAAGGGCAGTGTTTAGTGAGCAGCTGCCATGTGCAGAGCATTGTGCTAAATGCCTCTCCAGCCTTGTCTCAATCCTCCCACCCCCCTTTGGAACAGGAACCATTCTTGTCTCTGTTCAACGTGGAAAGTCGCTGAAACTCCGGCTACTTTGCCCAAGATCACCCAGGTAGTAGGAGGCAGATCCCGGCCTTGAAACCCAGGCCTGTCTGCCTTCAACCTCCAGGTAAAACCGATGCTCTGGAACTGTCAGCCCTGTAGCGTAGCCGCCAGGCACATGTGGCGATTTCAGTTTAAGTTGGTTAAAATTTAAAAACTTAAACATTCAGTTCCTCCATCACACCAGCCACATCTCAAGTTGCTCGGCTGCTCAGTGCCTCTCCGGACAGTGTAAATATCGAGACTTTCCACCAGTACAGACGGTTCTGCTCGGCAGCGCTGCTCTGGAAGGAGGCAGCGGTGTGCCCTGTGGCTCTGTGTGTGTCCAGGTCCCCACGGCCTTGTCCCTTTGGGTTTCTCATCACGGGGCTGGGGAGGAAGTCTGTGCTTAGGACGCCAGGTCTTCAGCAGGAAGTCCTAGGGGAGAGGGCGAGGGAGCAGTTGAGGGCCATTCTGGGGTCAGAACCAGGCTGAAGATGGACAGGCCTTCAGCCCTGGGGGTCAAGGTCCAGGCTTTGTGTACCAGACTCCTGTGGAACAAGGGGAGAAAATGGCCCAGAAGAGCAGTATTGAGGGAAGTGGTCTCTGCCCTGTGCACCGCAGCCTTCAGAAGCTGGGGCGAGCCCGCCGACCTGCAGTGACCATTTGGGGTACCATATAATGGAAGTGGATGAAGAAGAGCTCTTCCAGAAGTCAAGAAATTGGTGGAGGAGCCAAAAAGGCCACTATGAGAGGATCTGCAAAGGAGAAAAGGCCCACGGGGCAGCCAGCAAGGCTGCAGATAGCTCAAGGAGAAAGACCTACAGAAAAGGGGAGAGCGTGGTTTGTGACCCCCACCCCGTTCTCCTCACCTGCTCAGCAGCACTCACAATCGTACTGGTCTAGCTTTGTCTTGCTCCTTGACATTCCTTTCTTTCCTGGAATATTTTCCCGCATGTCGTAGATAGATCATTCCACCCATATGCAGTATGCTTATCTCTTACCAAGATAGTCCTGTTTCTCCTGGGACTGTAATGTCACTGTCACACTTAGGAAAACAGGACATCCCCCGATATCCTCTCATGCCCACTACATTTTCACATACCCCCGCACTGTTCTGAAATGGAATAGGCCGCCCCTGGAGGGAGTGAGCCCTAGCTCCAGAAGCATTAGCACCCAAGCTGAGCTTGCTTGGCGGAAGCAGCAGAACCTTATGGAAAGGCTCTGTGGTCTGGACTCTGGTCACAGGGGTTTCAGTCTTGACAGCTGTTCAGGTACAAGGTGACCTGGTGCAGTTATTTAACCTCTTTGAGCCTTGGTTTGCTCCTCTTTAAAATGGGAAGAACAAGAGTACCATCTCAGGGTACATGTAACTAGGGCTTAAGAAATGGCAGCTGGCATGACTGGGGCCCGTTTCTGCAGACCCGGAGGGCTGCTGCCTGGCGAACGGGCAGGGGAGGATGTAATTCTGCCTGGGTTCTGAGGAGGAAGGCCCAGAGCCCAGAGCTGAGGGGAAAGTGGGCATGGGCACCTCCCACGGATGACACGAGCGCCCATTGTCTCCCTTCCAGGTTCTCCCAAATGGTGCAGGACAAGCCCCTGCGCACATCCTGGCAGCGGAAGATGAAGGAACGGCAGGAGAGGAAGCTGGCCAAGGACTTCGCCCGGCACCTAGAGGAGGAGAAGGAGAAACGCCGGCAGGTGAGGGGCCAGCCAGCCAGGCTGAGGCTGGAGCTCAGGGGGCTGAGGTGGTGACTGCTGGAATAGGCCTGGGGGTAGGGGGAGGGCTGCTGGCCCTAGGGAGGCAGGGAGCCTGGCCAGAAGTAGAAGTGCAGTCTGGGACCGCAGGGCGGGGAAGCCCAGTGCAGTGTCCACTTTAGCCCAGGGCTCTATGAGAGACTCAAGGATGGGGAGGAGCCCAGGACGAAGCCCCCCGCGGTGGCCCTCACTACCGATCAAAGCATTTGGGGATACGGGCTTCAGGGTCCTCGCTCAGGTAGGAGAGCCTTATCCCAGTACTGTTGCCATCGTTCCCCAAGGGACAGCTCCCACGCATCAGCAAAGTGGATACCCCACACCTTCCTCATGCTCTGCCTGCCCCTCAGCCCCAGGCCGGAAATGCCTGCTTAGAGGTCCCGCCCCAACCCCTTCGGGCTCCAGGAAGCCCCAGCAGGCAGCACACGAGAGTATGAGGTCTGCGACCACCCCACCAGGACTGGGGTTATCAGAGGGATGTCACTTGCCTAGTGATCCCAGGGGCACAGGCCCGAGCCTGGCCACCGAGGGAAGGGGCTGGGCCAGGCAATTCAGCCATCTCTCCCCCGTTTTGAGGCACCCCAGTGCTGCTGTGTGCCGAGTCCTTATCTTACTTCCTGTGCGGCCCGGACTACCTCTTGAGCAAGACGGACTTCTTGTCACCCCCCCGGGAGTGCCCCCAGCCCAGCCCTTCCCCTGACAGGAGCCCAAATCTCACTTCTCCTTTCTCCTCCCCAGGGGCCCAGGCCACCCCTGCTCCCCTAAGTCCTCAAAGCCCGGAGAGGCCCCTGACCATGCAGCGGCCTCAGAGCCGCCATCCCCTCAGGCCCCACCCGGGGCGGCAGTCAGCATAGCCAGAAGGCACTGGACTCCCCATCCCTGAGACAGACTCCAACTAGATCCATCTTTGAAGTGTTCCCACCGGGCCGGGTACCCCTCCAAGGCCAGTGCATGCATGCATTCATTTATTCCTCAGGACAATCCGGAGTAATCTCTTCACTTTCAATATGGGGCCTTGAGGCACAGAGAGGTTAAGCAGCTTGGCCAAAGTCACCCATTTGGAAGCAGCAGAGCCAGGATTTGAACGGGGCCCAGATAGCCTCTTCCCCGTAGCCTCCACCCCTTACCCCCGGCAGCTGATGGGGCGGGGGGCATGGGGACCATTGTGTCTTACCTCCCGCCACCCACCATCCCCCTATCTAAGCTGCGCGACCAGGTGCCCCCCTTCTCGGCTGCAGTCACGGGCAGGGGCATATCTCCTTGCTGGCCCGCCAGCAACAATCGGGCTGGGGTGAGAGAGTCTGTCCTCTCCCTGGGAACTCAGCCAGCTTTCATTCCCCTGAGGCCTAAGAGACCAGGGCTGCCCCGGCTCCCAGCCTCAAATCCCCGTCCCCTCTGTGTTCCAGGAGAAGAAACAGCGCCGGGCCGAGAACCTGAAACGCCGCCTGGAGAATGAGCGGAGGGCAGAGGTTGTCCAAGTGGTGAGTGTTGTCTCGCTCGGGGGATCTGAACCGCGGCCAGGCTGGGCGCTGTGTCGAGATGCCTCGGCACCCCTGCGGGGTGGCCTCCCTTTCCCCGGGGCACAGGGCAGGGACGACAGCCACACTAATGCCCTCTCCTCACACCGCCCCCAGATCCGAAACCCCGCCAAGCTCAGGCGGGCGAAGAAGAAGCAGCTTCGCTCCATTCAGAAGCAGGACACGCTGGCGCTGCTGCAGAAGCCACCCCAGGGGCCAGCAGCCAAGATGTGAGCACGGGCCAGCCCAGAGGCCTTCTGCGGCCAACCGCTGTGTCAGACCTGCACTCGTCGGGCCACTGGTCACACGCCTCAGGGGAACGCGGCACTCCAGCGCTGGCGCCACCCCACCCCGCCCCACCCCAGAGGGGCTCTGAGCCTTCGGGGGCTCTCAAGCCCGGAGGGAGCCTGCGGCCTGGCAGAGACTGGAGGAGGGAAGAGGTTCAGCCCCGACCCCCGCCTCCTTCCTGCTCTCTCCTCCTTCATCGAGTGCCTTGCAACCATGAAGGGTAAATTCTCTGGTTCCTTGGGAGCTGACAACTGGAGGGTGACTCTCTAAAATGTGTATTCCGGCTCAAGGCCGCGGGTCCGACCCAGGCCAGGAGGCTGCAGTCAGGAACCAGTCCCCCTCGCACCATCCCAAGCGCTGCTTGGGGTGTCTGCAGCCCACTGGCCCTGTCGCCCGGCCAGCTGAACCCGGCTTCCCCGACTTTTCAACACCGAAAGGTTTCAGGGAGTGAGGTCCGCCCCGCCCCCCAGCTCGCTCTCGCCTGTGCCGGACTCTGCGGAAGCCCCGCGGATCTGATTCACCCGTGCCATCCAGTCTGTAACAAATATTTATTGTGTACAGGCACAGTTCTAGGTATCGGGGAATAGAGGCCCCTGCCCACAAGGAGCTTTCGTTCTGTCGGAAAAAAACATAATAAACAGGGAAATGGTACTGTGTTAGACAGTGGGAAGTGCCACGAGTGAAGCCGGGGGGGGGGGGGGTAGCAGGGAGCACGGGGAGCTGTGAAGGTGGACGTCGGCTCGGTCAGCTGCGCATCTGTTCGTCTGCTGAGCACGGGCTGTGGGCAAGGCCCGGCACGATGGCAAGCAGTAAGCCGGCCAGCCCGGCCTTCAGGACCCCAGCCAGGAGCCGCACAGGCAGCACTGGACCGAGATTCCACTGTTCCACCCACCAGTTACTGGCCACAGCTCTGCGCCTGGCCCCGGGACAGACCCAGGTGCAGTGGTCTTTGTCTTCTAGCGCGTGGCGGGTAGAGGAGACGTGTCAGGGCATGGATGCGCTATCAGGAGGTCCGAGTTAGCCCTGACTGCTACAGATCGGGACAGCCGCCCAGCTGCTGCGTGGTTGGGGGGTGGGCATTGGAAAGATTTGGGGATTACCAGCATTGCCCATAGGGTATTCCATGGTAGAATACCAGGCCCATATAGATGTCGGATCCATGAGGAAATGTCATGTGCTGTGGTCTCAGGGGCTGCTGTGCACATTCACATACTAAGAAGACCTTCAGCAGAGATGCCCACTGCACTGGATTAGCCCAGGCTGGCCACGGCACCCCTTGCTCTTTCTACCTTATAAACCCCTTGGTTGGTGCTGGGTCGGTAGGGTAGAGAGGAGGCCTCTTACAGGCAAGACCTTCAGTACCTTGGGTATGTTGCGGGTGGTGGGGGGTGGGGGTGTTCTTTCACTTACTAAATGGTAGTTGAACTGCATGGTGCTCAATGGTGAGTATGCAGACCCTATACTTTGGGTAAGTGGATTAATCTCCATGTACCTCAGTTGGATCATGGGTAGAAACTGGAGCTAATAGAACCTGTCCCTCAAGATTGTGGGATCAAGCGTCTAGTTCAATAAACGTTGGCTAGGTGACTACGTGAAGAGTTAGACTGGACCAGTACTTGCCAAACCTTTCAGTTTTCTACTCCAAACGCACGTATCACTGGTTTCCTGTAAAAATACCTCCCTCCCTTCCCCTCCCGCCATCTGGTAAAGCTGAGCTCCACGAAGGTGCATCCCGAGTACCCTAGTTCGAGAAATCTTGTGGTTTTAACCCTGCCTTGGTCCCCACGGGGTCCGCTGACCAGCAGCGCTGACTTCGCCTCCTGGGAGCTTGCTGGAAATGCAGAATTTCGGCGCCCGCCCCTCCCGCCGCCGACGGTTCTGAAGGGCACTGGGTCACGGGAGGCGTTTTAAAAGGCAGACGCCCGGTCCCGGCCTGACTCCGCCCCCGGGACGCTCTCGCGCGCGATCGCCGGCCGCCCTCTACCCCGACGTGGTGCTCAGTGCCCGGTTCAGGGGGCCCCTCTCGTCCTGGGACCGGGAGCGGGCGCGCTGCGCGGACGCCGCACGGCCGCCCCGCAGCCAGGCGAGCAG